ACAGGACAGGACATTAGAATCCAGTTTGTGATTACTAGTCTTCAAATAATTCACACATAGCGAAGAAGAAATTTACCGAGCAAACTGTTTCTTCGGTGTTGCTTTCTCATTCCATGAAAGTGTTGGCGTGGTTTCAGACAGTTACATCTAACGGAGTTGGTTTGTGCAAACCTTCACTCTCACCTCCTTGGTCCCAACGAAGATTGCGGAAAGCAAGGTGAAAATCACGCCGACTAAATGGTGAGTCCGAAACAATGCAATAATTCAAAACTGGCCCGACTGGTCGAGTTTTATGAAACCGTCTGAAGTTTAAGTTATTAGAAATTTTGAAGTACCCCTTAAGTTATACATCAGAAACTGGCCTTCTGTCGAATATCATGGACAGTCTTGTTACCCTCCTTCCAAAATAAGAGCTTCGAACAAATCTTCTTCCCCATCGGTTCTTTTCGGTACTGCATTTACAACTTTCTGCGTCCGCTTTCTATTATTTTGGCTTGGAGATACAGCTCCGCACTGAGTAGTGGGCAAGGACGTACCTTACAATTTGACCGCCCCACCGAATAGTGTATCCATGAGGATTTCAAGTTCTATACATACGACAGACCAGTTTTATCATTGCACAAGTACGTAGCACGTTTTGCGGAAGAAGTTTTGTCACCATCAACCTTTGTTTAAAATAGTTTCTTTTTATACCTATTTCAGATCACTGACCATGACTCACTAAAAAAACTACACCTCGTCGTGGTCCCAATCCTATACAGTCAATTTCTTTCTTTCACATCCGCTATTGGCACATATTACTTAATCCCATTCAGCTTCCATTTTCCTTCGGTTTCCATAGCACTGTACCTTTGCCACTATTCATCTGCTGACTGGGGAGGGCATGATGCCGCCTACTGTCTGTTGCTTTTGATAGTGCTACATCTCCAGCAATCCAACGGGTTTCACTATGAAACTTACGAATTTCTTCAGCGAGGAAACGCCTCAGTTTATGCAAGATTTTTATGAATTGGACAAATCCTCATATCCAGAATGTTTCAATCATGTATTTCTTTGTTTCGTCAAGAGAATAATCAAAATTTATAATTTTTATTCCTTTCAGATTGCCGAATCTTTATCATGCACGAAGCCAAAGATATGGCCGTCAATCTCAAGACCCTTCAGCTGTAATTTTTCACCTGTCCGTGAATGCTGCCTCTGAGATCTCAAAAATGCAGTTCATAATCTACTTAGTTCTGTATATCTTCTCACTCCTGAATTTAATACGGCTATGAACTCACTCTTTCACGAGAGCGCTGAAGTAGTTTCATTTCCTTATGTTTTGTCGTTTTTCTGTTCACTTCGGTCGTAGTCTATTGTGAGGTCCCAAACGGCATTGTACGTCAGAGCCTGCGGTCACTTAACCTCCCCGTGTTTCCCGGTGTCACCCATGCGTCCTGTATAATTTATTCTAATTGTATCTTGTCTGTTTGATCCTTCACATTCTTCCGACAAAGTTTCATCTGACTCTCTCAACTCTATTCTTGTAAAATCTATTTTATCAAAGGTGCTGTAGTCGAAATTAGCCATCTCAGTCCTTGGAAATAACAGCCTTTTGATCGATGACCACTAGGTGTTCCGGCACCGTCGTTCTGCTCATCAGAAGTATGGTCATTTGCAATGGGGTCGTTTGTTGAAACTGAATTCACACGCCCTGATATTTCGAAGGATTTTTATCCCATATGGCACCGCAAGCAGGTTGTGTAACTAACAGTGGACGACCCTGACTACGTATTGCATGCATCCTGAACGAATGCATGGTTTGAGAGTTCTGAAATTGCTTTCTCTTGAATTATCAAAGTTAGTATACACTTTCTATGGCTCCGTTCTTTATTTAATACAATTAACAGTGACCTCCCCCCTTCCGCCTCTATGAACTCCCATGCTTTCGTAGATGATGCGAACCATCACGCTTCTCAAAGATATGCTTTACCTCATCTGGAATGTGAAACCTCATTGCAGTGAACGCTGAACTTACAAAACATTCACTTGCAAAGCCCACCGAGCGCAGTTACATTCAGTCCCCGAACATTTCAGCCTACATCGAATTCACCTAAATTCATCCACTATCCAGCTGCTCACCTGTTGCTGCGCCAAGTTTGAATAATTTTAGTTCGTCCTCACAGTTATCGTCAGTTGCAACAGGAAATGTGTTCAGTCCTTTTATTTCAGTAAATATTTCTCTCTCCCAACTCCTAACCATGTTCCGAGTCCTCCCAGTCATACAATGCCGCTGCCATAGTTAGGTCGGAGCGCCCTATGCAGATCCCTTAACTCTAAACAGTAGTTTTGAAAAAATGTTTTATCCGCTGACTCCCTTTCTTTTATCATCAATCAGGTTGTCTGTGTTTCACTGCTTTATCACCGGTACATCAGTAAATGCCTTGCTGATATTACCTCTTCATCCCACTCCTACAATCGTTTGGCCGACCAAACTAATTTTTTCCTCAAACTCCACGTATCGTTTCAGCTCCTTGTTCCCGAATTGAATATTTTAAAGATTTGAATTTTTTTATCTCTTGCTTTCGAATTTCTTGTGATCCCAGAGTTTTCAAGACTCACGCGAGAGTTCATCTATCCGGGTTTACATGGTATCATTCAGCTGTACTTTAGTAATATGTTACATTTTTTTCTCGTACAACGGTATTTTTGAACTTCTTGTATAGTAGTTTCAGTCAACAGGACCATACCGCTCGTTAAAAGGTACTTACTTCGACTGAGCCCTGTACAATATATAGTGTGAATGCAGAGATAAGCCTTTTCAACACGCTTCTGGATACGGAGTCTCTAATGATAGTCTGAATGATGATCCTCTGAGGTACAACACTCTAAATATAACAATTGGGTTCAAATAGATGAGTGGTTAGTTCTTCAAACCGATTATAGGCATTATCTTTGAATCAATCAGCAAACTTACCAAAAGATTATTGTTAAAATCTCCATTCTCCGATATGGTTGTATCCAAACCCTCATAATCTGGTGTTTCTTGAAACCGACGACGGTGACCACGGTGTTTAGACCCATTATATACTAGTGACTCGGGGCTGATTTTTCTTGTCCGATCTGGGTTCTTGGAGGAAGAAATTGAAGGCGGTTGGTTATATGTAGGATATGATATGCAATTCTTTTCGGATTCTTTTGGCTGGTTCCCGATGTTCTTCGCGTTTGAGAAATTTTGTATAAATTCGTTTAGTTTGCTGGAGTCAAGTACTTTGGGTTTAACAGTTTTCCGGTTAAGATTTGAGTTTGGCTCGGAATAGTGATTGTCGACATTTTGTGGGTTCAAAGTTCTGGTCCCAATAGGCGGCGTGTTATCACGAGTGGTGCGTATGGTGCCATTCGTATTTCCACTGGTATCACCGGCAGCCAAGCATATTGCAGGTGCTATTACGTGCGCGTTGACGGATGGGGCCTGAGTAGAACGTTCTTTTGAATACACAAATTGGTCGCCCCCAGTAGGTTTCTTCAAGCACGCACCCAGAAGATCGGAATGTCCTAGTTTGGCTGTGCCCTTGAATTTGGCAGTCGGAGGAAGTGTGGGTGCTTCACAAACCAAAGGTGGTGAATTCGGTGGGTTCTCTGCTCTTGTCTCTTGGAAAAGGTTTATAAAACCGTTGCTATTTGGAAGCTCTCTGACACCAACGGACAATCGACTAGGAGAACGAAGGGAGGGGAGCTTATACTGATCACTCCAGATGGGTGACGACGATTCCATTGAGTTCCAGGTGTGCTCCTCAGCTGCAGTATGTGTGAAGACGACGAAGATGATGAACTTGTTGCGTGGTCAGGAAAAACAAATATCAAGGATGCCTGAACTTGAACCGCTCAATCGACAGTGACAGTAAGTGAAATCAAT